ATATTTTTTCTTTTTGATAACCTTTTGATCTACTGCAAAAAAAAGCACAGGTAAATGATCAATTTGCACTTTGAAAAATCATTTACATTTTTCTCACAGTAGAGCTAGTGTTTTGTATGCTTTTTGTAAGAATATCGGAATACCATCAAAATGTTTATTGCGGTCAATTGCGATACAAACCTCAGTATTTTTTTCAACTGCGACACAGAGAGAGGTGTATTTAATTCAAACTTTGTAAAATTTTTGTAGGAACACAGAAATCAAATGACAAATTAGAGGGAGAAGGAATCTGTTTCGTCAGTCTCCCACAACAGGTTACATGTAATGACCCTACTTGCTTCTAGGGAGTATAAATGGACTGAATTTTTAGTTCAGTTAAATTAGTGTTATAGTTTATGCTATAGAATTAGCCTCTACTGAATCAAGAGTTTCAAGCCTTTTTGCTGCTATTCAAGAGAAACAGCCGGAATGTTTCTTCTTGCTGTATTGCAGTGAAGGAATGATTTCTTAGTTTGGCAACAGGCTTCTGCAGTTAATGTTCATTCAGCACTCATACGCTTCTGAGATACAAGGGTTCATCTACATACAGAGATCCCTCTTGAAACTGCTTGAATTTGTCTCTTTGATCCATAAACTACTTTTGAGCAGCCTCTGAACACACATTACTAGATAGATCCTTGATAGATTCCTAGATGCATGACAGATCTTGGATACGTGCTCTTAATACTACTGCCAGATAAAATGATCTTTGCATCTGCCTCTGCACGATTAAGGAGGGTGTCAGATGAAACTCCACCATCCACCTCATTGTCTTCAGCTGCTGAAACTTTTGTTTCAGAAATCCAGGTTCTACTTGCCACAGCCATGTGTGTCTGATTGGTGAGAGTGCTATAAAGTTGTCAAGGGTAGTTCTAGATTTGATAGCCAACTTTCATCCCATTTTTCCAAATGTCTTTTATAAATTTCCTGGATTGGCTGTAGCATCCAAGTGAGAGGTTTCTTTTTTTGCATGTGCAACAGCCACTTGTTTCAATCAGTGCTGTGGCTTGACAACTGTCATGCCTGTTAAAGGATGAATCCTGGCCCAGCTGCTTTTGAAGACTGTGTATGACAGGATGGTCAAGCACAACAAAGTACAACGTGAAGAACAAACACTGCATCTAGGTGAAGGTCACTGGCCGTGGAAATCAGTAGGTGGCTTCAGCACCATAAAGTTGAAGAAAGACAGACTGATCTGGCAGCCCAATGCCATACTGATTTTTATCTCTCCCGTTGCTTTGGTTGTGTCCAGGAAAAGGTGGATACTTATTGTCCTCTCCTTGCTTCCTGTTCAAGGTGAGGGGAAGGAGGTGTGTAAGTTGGATAACAAAGAGATATAAACTCCTGTGCATGTATACCACAGGACCATGTGTTATGTAGTCTAGTTGTGACCTCATATTAAGATATATATATCTAAATATAACCAGTCAAGTTAACAGAAGTCTGTGCGTAGCAGAGTTACTCTTTAGATAGTAAGGAGTGAGAGGCAGGTCATTTTCTGAAGATTAGTATCTCTGTGAAGTGAGTGAAGGTCTGAATTCAAATGATCATTAATTATCAGGAATAGACTTTTGTTTAAAATACACTAAAATGCAGTGTTAGATACCATTATAGGCTGAAAGAGAGAGAAAATCATCCCTGGCTTAGTTTCTGTGGGAAAAGGTGCGTAGGACTGGGAATCTCAAAAGGTCTCGACTTCACAGGAAACAGAGTTTTACCAATGCAAGGTGCTTTTGAAAATGTCACTTGAAGTTGGATAAACCATATGTTTCACTTTCACGAAATTTCAGCAATTCTTAATTATTGTTCTTTTGATGGCATTTACTTAGCCATTACGTGTTATAGGAGGAAGAAAAAATGTCTTTGTCCTTCCATATGTTCAAGATACAAAACCCGTTTATGAAGCTTACGTGTGTGTAGGACAAAATTTATATCTAAAGCTTTTCTCATTTCATTTTTTTAGTCATACTGCCCTTGTCTGGATTTTTTTGACTAGCATAAGGAGGTTAAACCAGTTAAGAGGAAAGATCTTCCTAGTGCAATATTCTGTCTTTGATGGCAACCCCTCACACGTGGATACAAAAGAGTATTGGAACAGGGCCTTTACAAAGTTAGACTTTCTTGATTAAACTTTGATGCCAGCCAGCAATTTGCGGCTTAGTCTTGCCAGAGGTAACATCTTTGCTTTAGCCTAAGCAGTGTCCATTAGCAATGGTTTCCATGATTAAATTGCACATATATTGTGAGAGCTTGGCTTGATTCCTCCCTCCTCCCCCTGCTCTTCATTCCTTTATTGGAAGAGCTAACAAGGGCCCCTGATTCACTTTCCATATTCTGCTTGTGGCTTTAATTGACTAGTTAATATGCTTATTTCATGTATAAGCTTTGAATCAGGAAGATGGCACTGCATTTAAGATGGTTTAGCATAAAAGCCCACAGGTGAAGCCTATGAAATGTATGCTTTGTCGTTAAAGAAGCAAGTGCTGAGTCTAGGGCTGTGTCTGGATGGTGGGGCAGATCTGAAATGTATTTTGCAACCTGGTTCTCTGTTTTGCAGTTGCCTGGATCTCAGGAACCGGATCATGGGGAAAAGAGTGTAGGAAAGGATGGTGCCTGTCCCAGCCGCATTTTAATAAGGATCTGGGACATGACAAGTGTGCAAACCGGGACCTAGGAAGTATTGCGGGCACCACAGAATGGACATAGTCTGAGATTGCTATATCAGATAATGACTTGTTTAAATGTAGTTGACCAAAATCAAAGGATTGTCATTGAAGTCAGTAGAAGTCTTGCCAGGAACTTGCATAAGGTCAGCATTTCAAGAAACAGCATTGTGCCTGGCTGAGGGAGATAGAGAAAGATGGGTGAACTTCTTCTTCCTTGAGAGACAAATATCTATATGTATTTGGGTTATGAGCTGTCGTATTGGCTTAGCGCATTTTGTCAGGCTGGCCTCTACCTCTTCTTTCTAGTCCCATTGCTTCCTGAAAGGTATTACAGGTCTGTATTTGCAAAACTTTAATTAATTCGTGATAAATATTGTGACCTAGTTTTACCATGATATGTATGGCAGCAGTAGAAGTGGCTTGTGATTCTTGCAATGGTCTTTGAATGCTATGTGAACAGGTAGCATTGCAGAAACATAGCACAAGGTGGTGATGTACTCACCTGCTCTTTCTTTTATCAGGCGATTGAAGAACAGCAAAGCTTCTACAGATGGCCATCGTTACCTTTTTCGAGGCAGAATAAACACAGAAGTGATGGAAGTAGAAAATGTGGATGATGGAACAGGTAAGTATATTTGTGCTGCTCGTTTACAGAGCAGTCTTCCAGGGTGCTGAAATCTAATGCAAACAGCTTCATGAATTCATGGAGAATGAAGACTGCTGTGTGTATTTAGAAGAAAACAAGATGATGTCACTTTAAAAGAGCAGTCTGCTGTCATCAACACTCTGCTTCTGTGACACATCATTGGTTTCGTATGTTATTAGCTGGGCAGTCACAGATAACTATTTTACGCTAACACAGTGGGTGAAATGTATTGCTCAACTGAAATTGTGTATTTAACTTCACTTTTAACACTCCAGCACTCCTAAATAGGTGATTCCTGGGTACGCGATGCATTTGTAAAAGAGAAGGTAAAAGTTACCTTTTTTGGAATCAAACATTATAAATGCTAAAATTGTAACATGAGAGTTTAAGAAAAAATTGTTTATTGTTTAATACCTCCAGAGATATAATCCATATGATTGCTTGAAACTTTCTTGACGTGAATTAGAAAAGTGAAACCTCTAAATACCGCTACAAGTGTCAGTTTCCATTTGAGAAACTTGAGTTTTCTGAAACTTTGGGTTTTGGCCAATTATTATTAACTTTTAATTAATGAAGAAAACTTGAAGCATTTGGGGGTTTGTAATATAAAACAAAAAAATTTTATAGGAAACCTGAAGTGTTACTGTAAATGTACAGGTCTTCAGGAAATTTCAGAAGCTATTATCTCTTCTGATTTTAAAATGATAACAAATTTACCTAGATCCCCACATCTACTAATCTAAGTTATTTAAAAAAATACTAATGACAAGGACTACACGGTTTAAATAAGCTACTTCAGGCCTTCATAGGTGCCAGAAATAGTTCATAAAAGTTAGAATATTCTTTTCTAATCTTGATTTCCCTGCTTTCAAAACTATTTGCTAACTTCTTATTCTACTGGCGGATATGGGGAACAATTTGACTGCTGTTCTCATTGCAACAAATGTATCTATTGGGAGGTTATTATGTCTCTCATCAATCTCTTCTTTTTAATTTTTTCAACCTGGGTCATGGTTTCTAAATCTTTTACTGCTTATCTATCCTCTGGCCCTTTTTTCAGTTTATTTGCATCTTTTGTCCAAAGCTGAGACCTGACTGGTGCCAAGTAAAACAGAATAATTACCATCGTTGTGCTGCATGTGAGATGTCTATTACTAATCCCAGGATTATTTGACTTTTTCAAGAGAGTTATTTTTCAATTTCCTGTTATTTTGTGATCCAGAGAACCACACCAGATCCTTTTGTGCAGAACCAGTTATATCCTATGCTGTGTTAATTCCCTGTGGGTGTTTTTTTATTTCTCCTTACTAGTAATTACTTTTTTTTCTGTACTGAATTTCATCTTACTTAAGACCAACCATTTCCATAGTTTATTAAGATTTCAGAATTCTTATTTTGTTCCCCAAAGCCCTTGCAACGCATCTCACAAATTATGTACTTACTGTCTCATTTAAGTTCTTAATAAAAATACTGGAAAGTGCTGACTGTGGGATCCCCCTTGATACATTCTTTGTTAGACTTTTTTGGTAACAACTCTTTGATGTCTTTTCGGAGCTGTCTGTCCTTCACCAGGCCCATTGATTTAGAGTTTTCTGTAGGTAGTCTGTAATGAATTTCATCTGGCCACGTTAATTTGAATATAATTTGTCCAAGTGTTCCATATCCTATTACTTCCCTTTCCTGGCTTATATTCCTACCTCCTGGTTAGTTTTATTTGTGCCAAATACAAAGGCTCAGTTAGCATTTTGTGTGTGAGCAAAAAAAGCAGTAGAATATTTCAGTTTTCTATATCATCTATTATTTGACTGCTGTCCCCCTTTTATTTTTGTGCACCTTCCTTATACATGCTTTAGAAATAAAAGATGCTTTTCCTATTACCATTTATATCACTCTATCAGTGGAATATATTTTGTGCCTTAGCTTTTCTGATTCTGTCCCCACAGGCTCTTCTCTTAGACTTGGCAATATGAGTATGTTTCCACTTTTTGTATGATTCATATTTGATTTCTAGTTATCTTTTCCAGTCCGTTTTGCACTTTTTTATGACTTTGAAAATTCTCTTTCATGGGACACGAAGCAGCCTTCATAATATGGCATTTCTTTATTCATAATTCTTGACATTGCTGCGGCCACAGAGGCTTGTAAGCCACTATCTTCTTCCTGGTGAATGTTCCAAGACTTTTGTAACTTTTGCTTTAACTGGCCCCGATTCCATGTATTGCCACCCTTTAAGTGTTGGCTTTAGTGAATATTCCTTCCTTCCTCCTTCCATCTCTCCCCTGTATTTCTCAAATTTGTCATATCTTTCTTCATTTGTTAACTAACTCCCAGGAGATATCATGAGCTCTCATTCTACCTAGATGATGATTTCTTTTCCTAGCTCTCCCGTCTTATCTCTTTCACACTATCCATTTTCCTTTCTGCCCTTTAATTTTCTTCTTTAATGGTTCTTTAAGTGTAATTTGGCTAAGCATAATCCATCTCCCTCTCCACTCTAGACATCCGTAGTCTCATTTCCTGCAGCCTAGGGGAATTTTGTTACCTTCCTCATTTTCTTTAAACTTGCACACATTGTACTGGATGTTATCTTCCCACTTCCTCTCTTGAGCTATGTCAAATCTTGTCTCTTATATATATGCAACTTTTCTAAAATCCATCCCCCTTTCCTCACATCTGAGACAATGACCAAAGCTTTGGTTACTTTGTTTTGTAGATTATTCTTACCTTCCCTTTTCATGTATCCCTACATTTCCTGCCTTCTCCCTTTCAGTTTGTCCAATATCCTAAAATAATCTTTTCTTGTGATTATTGCTATTTTATCTCTCCTTTCTCTGGTTCTCTTTCAGATATAGAAAAACCTATGTCATTTCACTTGGCCTGAGCTATCTTTCTTTTGGCTGTTTCTTTTTCTTTTACTTTTTTGCTCTCTTGTGCTCACTTTTTTTTTGCTTTTCCTACCAGTTTTCTTCTTTGTGGTCACGCAGCATTGATAGATGTAGGAATGTAGTGCTATAACCTTTGTTGTTAGTAAATAGAAGCATAGACTTAGGAAAATGGAGATTGTTGGTACAGTTTATGGTTATGCTCATAATATACCTACAGAAATTAACAATTTTTTTCAAAAAAGCAATTTTTCTTTGATGAAATTAGACATTGGCTGAGCAGTACAATTGGTGGAGGCTTTCTTTTTTGTTTCAACCTTGTGAGGTACCCTGGCTTTTTTGATTGCACCAGTTAAAGTAGAATGCAGACACCAGGGCAAAAACTATTTGTGTTCTTAAATCAGAGTGGCTACGCCTCCACTTACAAGTCTTTAAAAGGGGTATATAGCGATGCTATTGTCCTATTGTTTTTTCAATTTTTAAAATTCGATGTGGAGAGAAAAGTATATTTCTGATGGCATTCACCAGCCATTAAATGAATGTTATTTAGTCTGTGAAGACAAGTAACTTCAGACTTAGGAAATACCAAGTATATAGTTGCTTAGGCAATCTGAATTCTCTGTCCGCTTGTTATCTTGAAATGAGGCAGGCATGAAACAGAAAAAATACTGTGTGATAATAGTAACTGAAGACTGTATCAAAAAGTGCGTGGAAGAGGAAGGTAATTGAGATTATGCAGCAACTATTTATTTGGTGTTTCTGAACACTGGTGCGCCTAAGAACTTATGGTCTAAGAAACTTAGAAATACTCTCATATAGAATTTCTTTTCTTTCTTTTTTTTTTAAGGGAAGAAACAAATTCTAGTGTATATTGGTGTAACAAATTGCTTGTCATACATCTCTTAAAAATGTTTGAATCCTGAATTTTGGACAATATATCGCACTTCATATTACAGGCTTTAATGTATTACCAAATATCATTAGAAAATGATGTCATCTTTCTTCACCTTTCTTGGGAAGTTGGAGGTTTAGTGATTTGTTAAGCTTGTTGCATGGAGCAACTTGAGCTCTCGCTTTGTTCTTTCTGCTCTAATCATTATGTCAGGCTTGCAAATCGTCCGTTTAGCCTGACTAGCAGCTGTGACTGCCTAGCCACGAAGAGTAGGCTTGCTTCCTGTGCAGCTGGCCAGTCCAAACATGTGTGCCTCTTGGCTGGCTACATAGCCAGTCAGCATGTGTGTAATTCTTGATCAGATTTTGTCCTGTTGGTAGTCCAAAAATGGTATACAGTATATGGGATGCTAGTGGAATGCTGAAGCTGCTGTTCAGGGGAAGATGGAGATAGATGTATTGTGGAGGACATACAGCTCATGAGAACCTCAGAGGATTGTAGTTACGGGGAACATGAGGAGTAGAAGAGAAATCAGGGGTGTTGCTGTGCAAGACAGGGGTCTGAGCGACACTGAGCACCAATGTACAATGTAGTGGGTCATTACTGCAAAATGGAGAGATAAGCTACCTGTTGGCTTTCTCCTGCACTTACTACCATCTCTATACAGTAAGTAATCTTAGCACCCAACTAATTGATTTAGTTCTTCATAGAATTCAGTTCAGTGAGTTTGTGATGGCGTGAGATAAATGCAGTCAAACTGCCAGCATTTTTGACCATGCAGTTGCATAACTTCAGATGCCATGGAAGTTATGTTTTTAAACTGTCATCTCTGCATTGAGATACCCGAGTGGCTGGATAACCCACTTTTGTTAATTGAATTACTAAGTTGAAATCAAAATTCTTCCCAAAGTGAAATGTAGATATCTAAATCACTTTGTTTATCTGAGTACTTTTTGAGTAATTTTTGAGTACTTCTTTCACAGTTTCAGCCACTGCAGTTCTCTGTTTTGGAGAACATAGTATTTCCCTACTAAACAGGGATGAGGAGGATTTGTTGTAATTATTTCTGAAAAGTATTCCATGGCTATGGTAAAAAAGACCACAGCAAAAATATCACCTCATAGTTTTGTGCATAGAACCTGTAACTTAAAATAAAAAGGCACTACTAGTGCAGTATTGCAAAGTTTATAAGCATATGCTTAAATAATACGAAGGGAACTTAGCCTTCCTTCTTCCAGCAGCCCTCCTGCCTCTGAACTCGAAAAAGCTGTAAGCTGATAGCTTCTGTCTGTGACTTTTTTTCTTTTACTTGACTTTTGACTCTGATTTTCTGAGGGTGCATGTTACACGATGAGGAGTTTTTAAGAAACAGTGATTTTAAGTGAAGGATGTCATGCATAGGTTGAAGAATGTTATGCGTAGATTATATGCATGAAAATATGTTAAGTCGGTAAGTGGTATAAACATGGTGTTGCCAAAATAAATTACTCCAAATTTTTCCACTGTGCACTTTTTTGCGCTTTCTTAAACATTTTTGAGTACTAATATGTTGTGTTTGTCCAGGAATTAGCTATCAATATGAAGATTTTCTAGTAGTGCCTGACATTTTCCAGGCTGTGTATACAAAAATTGGCTACTTTCCATCTAATTAAAATGCAAGGTTATTGAAAAGCTACTAGTGTGTCTGCTGCGATTTATGATAAAACTTAGCAAGCATTTCAGCAAAAATTTCAGTTTTGGAAAATCCCATCTCATTACACAAAACTAACCTGAATTATTAAAAAGAATTTGCAAAGTATAAAGTTCTGAAGCTACTAGAGTAGTTCAGAGCTAACCCTGGGATTTTCTTGTCTGTTAATGAAAGTTAGTAACGAGAGAATGTTGACATCTGATTTTCTTAGTGTTTTGTACAATAGATGCTAGTTCTAGTTTTAATTTATGTTTTATATAAAAATCATATTTGTTATCATGGGGCATTTGGGGCCTTGCAAATTTTCCCCAAGGAAATGCATGTACTCCTATTGAAAAATATTCAAGCTATACAAGGGTGTTAGTTTCAGAATGAAAGTCTGTTTAGCTGATTTCCAAATAAGATTCATGGGCTAATATGTTAAAATCAAAATTTTCAAGATATGTAGGTTAAGAGAAAGTAGTAAGTAATAAAATGGCTGCTCTTTATAGCTCAGAAGTTTATATGCTAACAGTCAGAAGTTCAAGATATCTAAGAACATCAGCAGTTATCACCTCTCCTCCATAATATGTATGCTGAACACAGGGTTGTGCATTTGATTGATGTATTTTTTTTAAACATAGTAAATTTTTAATTATATTTCAGTTTGTTTAAACAAATAATTGTATATTTATTTCTTTATTCAGGTAACAAGTAAAATACATCAAATGCATCTGCTTTGTTTACTCTTCAAAATAAGATTATATTTTTCCCACTGGATATTTATTCCTTTTTTAAGATTGATAGTAAATTGTTCAGATCAGCAAAACAGATTTCAGTAATTTAAGGGGCAAAACCACAATTTGATTTTTAAGGAATTATATAATAAACCATAATGCACACAAAAGTACTCTGATAAATACTTCAGTCTGTTTTTCTTTTTTTTTTTTTAAAGTAGGACACTGCCTGTTCTAGCATCAACTTCATAGTCCCTTCCATATGCTAGGCAATGTTACATTTTTAAAAATGCATTAAATTTACTGAAAGTAAAAAGAATATAGTTCCTTAAGATACAATGTAGTTCGTAAGTGGCCTATGTAGTAACTGCATAGGTAATGTTTCAGTACTTAAAATTCCTTTTTATTTTTCCAGTTGTTACAAATAATGCTCAGGAAAGATGGAGGTTATAGTTACAGCTATTTTATTTTTATTTTAAGAGTTTTTGTTCTTCAAGCAGTTTTATCTATTCCCAGCTGACTATCATAGCAGCGGCCATACTGTTGTTAATGGCTGGAAGATCCACAACACAGCAAAGAACAAATGGTTTGTATGTATGGCAAAAACTCCTGAAGAGAAGCAGTAATGGCTGGAATTAGAAAAGGTACGTTAAACTTTTTTGTCTTGCTGTGCTAGAAGTCAGTATTCTGTTTTTATGCTATGATGTAAAGTGAAACCAGCTGCCAGGCAAGCGTATGGTGTCAGGTTCAACTGAAAGTTTATGAATACCAGCTTGGATGAAGTAAACCAAACTTGTACTGGGAGGGACATAAGGACTTGAATCATGTATGCTAGTAGTTAATGTTATTTTGGAAACTAGGAGATGATTTGGTCTATATTTTGTACAGCTTGTCCTCAGCTGGTATAAATAGTCATAACTTTACTGAAGCATGTGAACTATTACATTTTGTGGTATCTGAGGATCTACCCCAAATGTCTTTTGGCATCTGTATGTAATGATGTCATTTTGTGAATAGACACTTTCATTACTGAAATGAGCGGGTTTCCCGTGTTGGATCTTCATGCAGATGATCTACCACAAGATGGTACAGATACCCGCAACCTTGTCTTTGATCCATTCTCCCTCATCCAACAAAGTAAAAACTCACCACTGGCAAAAAAATCCTATCCATCTAAACAACTGAATTTAGTGGGAGCATACTAGGATGAAATACAATCCTAATCTCAAATGTGACCATGAATAACTTCATGTATTCAAGGTGAATCCAGCACAAAACAGAGTCAGGGAAAGATGACACATCATCATCGTCTGGAGCTAATTTCATTTGCAAGCGAAAATATCCTAATGAGTAATGATGTATGGAGCCTTGATGTTGAAGGAAAATATGACCGTGTGGTTAGATCTAGGATTCTGTTCCCAGCCTGCATAAGTTTTCTGTGGCCTGTTATATTAGCCATTGCCTTGTGCCTCAGTTGTAAATTGAAAGGTATAATACTTCCTTTCTTTCGTCTTTGAAGTTGGAATAATGGATGTTTGTATAACATCTATCACAGGGTCAGAGTTTCAACTAGGCTATGTGAGCACTATCTAATCAATAAATCTGTAGAGAATAAGTAGTAGAAGAGAAGCTAAAAAGATGCCCTCGACCTCTAAGAACTCAAAATTTGGGAATAAGGAATGAAGAGCAACTTGGTAGAGATTGTGTCATACACATCATACACAGCAAAGAACGAGTTTGTCTGCTTCTGTTCAGGGCCTTATGTGAAAGTGCTTATAAAGATTTTTATCAAATCCTACCTTACCATTTTTAAGTTTCATGGTTTCCTTAGCCCCTCGATACCTTTAGGTAAGATGTAAAAACAGTAAATATGCCATCTTGATGTAGTATTATTTTTTCCTACTGTACTATTGAGCAGCTGGTAGTAGGGGTGAGTTTGACCTAAACCTTACAAAGTTCAGAGTTAATGGTCGAGCCATGTCCTCGGACTTTAGCATCTTATAATTTGGGGAATTTTTCAACTCTTGGTGGTAGCAGTGGGTTTGCCACTGAGGAGACAACCAAGAGAGAAGCAGGAAGTGGACAGAGCATGAAAGGATTTGGCATACACTCAAACTGAGTTCCAACACAGAATCTTTAAAAATATTTCTGGAATATCTCTGTTACTCTGGCAACATATAAATTTATCTTTCTCCTCCAGCGCAATGATTTTTCAAAATGACTGTATAAACACCTCTTGTGAAGCAGGATGCATCAACTTAATTGCAGGGTGGTTGCCAAATGACTCAGGAACTAAACTGCTAAGTTTTTAGAATTCAAATACTGTATCTAAATGTAATTATGAACACTTTCCCATTCATTGTGAACATAGAGATGCTTTAATTGTATGTTTGCTTAGCAAGATATGGAGTTCATGTATATGTATGCAATTACACTGAATTCTAAGTGACTGCATGTATGAGAGCAGTATTTTTTCTCCTTTGTGAGTTTGAGGCTAACTAAATCCAATGTACACACCTGTCAAATCTCTTGGCAGGGAGTGAAGCTCAGGTAGGGCATTCCCTCTGCGTAGTGCTGTGTGGCAGGGCCTGCCTACGCATTTGTTCGTAGCAATGCTGTAGACCCTGCATCTCACAGAATGGCACGTTGCAGTAATCCCCAAACTAGATAATACAGCATGTGGAGGAGGAGTGAGGCACAGAAATGCAGCTCGAGTGTGCCGTGTAACTGGGGCTTGATGGACTGAGCATGTTGGGAAACTTGGAGATTCAATGCACTTTGGGAAACTCAACTTCCATTGTTGTCTGGGTTCCATATAGCAATAGCTGAGTAAAGGGGAGAGAATGCCCCAAGTGAAATACTTCACCATAGATTTCAGTTGTCGTATTTTAAATACCAACTACCACTACTTTATAGATCGTATTTTTTTGCAGGGGAACTCAAGCTGAATTGGAAACTTTTTGTTGGAAAGTATTTCTGTCAGTTTCAGGGCTTTCGTGTAGCCACCTGAGGCATTCAGCGAGTTGCAAGTTTATTTAAAAGGAGATGATCTTCAAGTCTGATGATGCAGTGCATTTATACCTGATTCATAGAGTCAGTACAAATAAAAATATCAACATCCTAGAAGCTCCAAAAGCAGCATATTGATTCTGCTGGGAACAAATGATGTTTTATCTGTTTGTGTGGCATCAGCACTATCAGGTTCATGCTTCATGAGAAGCGCTTTGGTATCTGTGTCAGATACTGTTGCTTATTATTATTTTTTAAGCACATGGCACTTAGATTTTCTCTGGCTATTTTTTCAGAATTAAAAAAAATGATGGACTATTACTCATATTAAAGGTGTGCAGTTATAATTTTAAAAATGTGCAAGTTTGAAGAAAGAGCGACTGAGAACATGTATATAAAAGGCATGCATAAAACATTCCAGAAATATATGCTTTTGTCCAGAATTAATAGCTGTTTTTGTAGAGAAAGCAAGTGGACTGCAAAGGTCTTGGGTACTCCTTGGGACCACAAGCTTCTGTGAGTGGCCACAGACAAGTAATTCAAGGAAAACTGCTTTGATCATCAAGGACGTTCTTTGCTACTGAGAGGAAATAATGATTTTCTCAAGCAGCGTAACAGGAAAAAATAAAATAGTAACAAATATCAAACTGAAAGCCTTAATAGCTTATTGTTGTTGAGAAAATTCTGAGGCAAATAGAAATCAAGATGTGTATATGCATTTGTAGAAAATGGGTAAAGTAATCTTATGTAAAACATAAACAAGCACATAACAGATAACTAGTTACTGTTCATTGGAACATGGAAAATATTTCATGACTGTCTGAATATTTTTACTGTCACATGGTAAAAGTAAAAACAAGGCCCTTTTCTTTTAAACTTGAGAAGGGATGACTCTTCCCTTGTAAGTGTTCACATAATGAAGTCAATGAAAATCACAGAATTAGTATTTTTACTGTGATATCAGTGGTGATGTCAGTATAGGAGTACATTTTCAGGAACTTAACTTCACTATAAGGAATTTATAGATAACATTTTATTATGTTTATATGAAGATCAGTTGCTTAGTCGAACCTTGATACTGAGCGAAATAATGGAAAATAATTACTTTTACATTTGCTTTTTTATGTATAAAAGCATTGGGTTTACTTCTTAGTTTTGGAGAATATTTTGAAATTTAATGGCAATGTCACTTCATAAAATCTGAATGTATCTTGGCAGGTTTAAAACTGGGCATGGAACAAGACACTTGGGTGATGATCTCCGAACAAGGAGAAAGGCTGTACAAAATGATGTGCAAACAAGGGAATCTCATCAAAGACAGGAAGAGGAAACTAACCACTTTCCCCAAATGCTTTCTTGGAAGGTAGAATATGCATTTGGTAGTGTGAATTTCAGCTAGCTGAAAACACACTTGAAATCTTCTTTGGCATTTTAAGGAAACTATCACAGAATAGTTACAGAATCGTTTAGGTTGGAAGGGACCTCTGGAGATCATCTAGTCCAACCTCCCTGCTCAAGCAGGGTCACCTGAGCATATTTCCCAGGATCACATCCAGAATGTGATCATCCAGAATGTATCATTTATTTTCAATCTCTGTTAGGGCTGTTTGTCTCCCATGCCAGAATTTCACCAAAATGTAAATTAGGGAACATGTAAATGTTTCCCATTATAGACAGAGCATCCACCCTACCTGTAATAAATAAAAATGAAAAGGGAGCTTATGGTAGAAATAATTCTGTTGTGCAAAATGTATTGTAGAGTGCTTACAAACTTAGGTACTTTTGTATCAAATATAAAGAGGGACTGGAAGGAAAAGGTGGTAGATGTGGTGGTATGACATTTAAAGTTTGTTTTTTGTATCTGTTTTTAATTCAGCGAATTTGTGTCCTGGTTGTTGGAAATTGGAGAGATACACAGATCTGAAGAAGGTGTTCATCTTGGCCAAGCTTTGTTAGAGAATGGCATTATCCATCATGGTAAATATAATTAGTTTTAACTTATTTATTTTCAAGGTAATTGTTATAATTAGAATGAACTTAATTTATTTTTAGTGAAAAGATGATCTTGTTAATGCGAGATAGTTTGTTGAATCTGCAGTATCCTCGCAGGGACCTCATGGGGCAATTGCGAATGCCTAGTAGATTTACTGGGAGTGGTTCTGTTGGTTTAATTGGATTAGATATATGCTGCTGAGATCACAGCACCACAAACACGGACCTAGAGTTGCTATCCTATTGTAAGCAGAAATCGCTTCTATGGGAACATAAGGAAGGGTAGACTGCTTTTAAGGATATAAGCCTTCTTTTAGGCAAGGCTTTATAGGGGTCCTTGATCAACTAAGAATTGTAGAAAGGAGTGAGTAATGAATGTCGCAGTTCTCTGTTGATAAATGTGCCCGATTATTTTTTAGGAATAACAAGTGGAGCTGATAGAACCCAGCCTACATCTCAACAGTTTAATGTTTTGAATTTTAACTCCCAATTTTCAGCAGAGTAGAATACTATTAAAATTCAAATTTTCATATCGAAATTTTCCCTCTCAACTATCTGACTTGACCTCATTCAGGAGAGAAGTATCACTGAAATGATAGAGTTTTTGAGCCAATAAGAACTGTTGATTTCTTGAGGTAATTTGCACTGGCAACATTTTTCATATCCAATTCTCTTGCAAGATCAGCTCCTCATCTCTGTCCCTTTTACAAGGTATGGTTCAGCAGGACCATACAAGTGAACTAGAGAAACTTCTGTTTTTGAAGATGCGTGGATTGCAATAGGTACAGTCACTTAAAAACAATTAGTGAAACAATTGCGAAGTTAGCTACTGTTCCAGCATGGATCCAGGGTGTAAATTTAGGTGGAATCAATGATAATTTACATTGTAATGTTTATATACTTAGGCCAGTAATAAATTCAACACATGCTTTGTAAAACTGATATAAAAATCTCCTAATACCTCAGAAGCTGCTCAGATTCCTGCACTGATTTGGGCTTAGTTTTGGAATATATGAAAGGTTAGAGGCTATTTTACAAAACTCAAAGAAATGTAACCAGTTGAGAGGCAGATGGTGGTTCTTTGCCACCGTGTTTTCAGTGTCCTTGGCTGGAAAGAAAGTGGGAGTAACAGAGTGCTGCTTAGCTTTATGCTTTTTAAACATACACAGAGTAGGAGTAAAAATATTAAGCGTATTCATCAGTAGTCATGTAGTCTTTAATATTTTGATGCCAGTCTGTGGTTTTCCTCCACCATCATTCAAATGTCAGATGCTATTAGATTTGCTACACACACAGAACTGTTGTCAGTGGAATGATTCTGTTGCCAAAGATTCTTCCTCTGATCTCATAATTTATGTCCCAAATACACTAATAGACTTTCTCAATACAGAGTTAAATGAATATTGTGTAATTTCATGAGATAAAAGGGTAATTATATTGGAGCATAGAAATAGGAGCCAGACTACTTTGAATAGTGGATCCAGCTGTGGTTTGGTGAAAATAGAATTCTTAAAATAAAGTTGAATGAACCATCTGTTTTCACAGAGGGAGCAAGGGAGGAAGAAAGTTTGGCTGATATTCACATTGCAAATGTTGTAGAGGGCTTTGTTAGACTGTGCATGTTCACTGTGCCTGCCATTATTTTCACTGTGTTGGGCTTCGTTCTAGCAAGACCCGGACCCATATTGTGATGAGCATTGTTTTACTTGCTGGTGTGTGAACTCTTGCAAGTGGAAAAGTTATGTTTTTTGCTTGTTTCGTTTTCCAATTTTGCACAAAGGAAAAATCTGTTTGTACAGTGCTCATCTAAATCTACCTGCTATCATTGTCTCTGATATCTGAAAAGACTTGCATCAGTCAATGGGCTGAACTGCTTTGTCAAGTCACTGCTCCTGCTAATTAGAGCTAGAAGAGTAAGAAGCTTTGTAGTTACTAAAATAATCTGTATATTGAAGAGTTTTTTAAATGTGTATTAGGTTGTAGTTTCATGAATGTATAAGCTGATTCAGCTGCTAAAATAAACAGCCGTGGTCCCTTTTATGCTAGCACAGGTGTTTGTGGGGCTGTGCAGTTTCATGGATTGGAGTACTGATGGGAGTTAAAAAGTAAAAAAGTGAAAGTAGAAGACAGGACTAGCTTAAAGCTCAGTCAGTTCCCTTTTCTTGTTGTGTCCAATATAAATACCTATCCCAACACCAGGGAGTACTGGCACATGGGTGGGAGTGAAACAGAAAATTACATAGGATGGTTATTTTCCTGGTGATAATGGGTTATACTAGCTTTGAGTATTTGTGAAACTATGGCCTTAGGAATGTACAGCTGATTCTAGTTAAAATAAACTAGGACATACAGTAATCTAAATGTTTTCTTACATCTTCTTCAGTAGCTGATGATCATCCATCCAATGCTCCTCTTGGAGCAAAACAAGCCAAATCATGTCTATTTCATAGAAAACAAAAAAACAAACAGAAAATTAAAGGTGATTTTATAGCTTCACCTACAGCATTGCCTGAAGATACTTTGGTATTTTGTACAGCATACTTGAGTAGGAAGCTTCCTTGTCTGGTTTCTTTAATTTCTAGAGCTCAGGATGTGCCAGCTCTGTGAACCTGCTCCTGTAGTTGCTGATGGACCATATGTGTGTAGGGGGCTGCAAAGACAGAGCAGTGTTTGCATTCTTCAGGGTTGTGTTCTGTTTTTTTACAGGCCAGCAAGGATGGAAGGGTGCTTTGTAGTCATGATTCCCTCTATGCATCTCTGGAACAGTCAGGAACAATTTGGTCTTAGGCAATAGAATTCTGGTGGTGGCTTTTCTATTTCCAGTAGTTACTGGTTTTAAACAAACTTAAAGTTTGATGATCTAGTGAGTATATTCTGTTCAGCAACAGTAGGAAAGTATTTTTAATTACAGAACTAAAACTAATCTTTATTACTCAGTTAAATAGTGGTCACCATCCATTAAAATGCATTTGGATACTTATACTAGGCAATATATATGGAAATTTTGTAGTCTGTACCTGATGTGTTAGAAGGAAATGACGTGTAAAAGAGCTTCACGGTGATTGTGGATGATCACCTCAGCATGTGTACTGCCAGTTCAAGACAGTGGCAAAAAGTCAGAATAGCATCCTTGGCTTTACTATTAGTAGATGTATCAAATGCAGATAGAGAAGTTATTTTGTTCTTTCACATGAAGCTGGTGAAAGCACTCTATATATAACGTCAGTTTTTATGTCCATGCATTAGGAGCTGTGTGGAGATACTGAAGAGCTTGAAGGAGCGTGAAAAATGATGCAGTGGTTACAGAAGGCTCCTTACTGTGCAAAGCTTATGGTGTCCAACCTAATTTGTTGAAGAGAATAACGGGTGATGGTTTAATCACTTGGTATAGGGAGGCACACTAGAAGAATTATCTGATGCTGTGGGCCTCGTTACTCTGGTCAACAAAGACATAACGATAGCCTATTACAGCAAGCAGATGCTACATAAACGTAGTTTTGAATTAAAGTTGATGGTTTCAAGCTTTCAGAAGGACTTGCTTTAGTCCTATTTCTGGGAGAAGTTTTCATCATATGATGTGTCTGTTTTGACCAAACAGTTGTGTGGGATTCTGTTCTTGGAATCTGTGAGCCTCTCTAAACTGGAAATTCACGTATTAAGATACTTTCTTCATGGGTCTTTGGGGAAGTGGATTGTCTACAGTGACTTCAACATCTTCACACTGACTTCAAGTCCCTCGTACTTAAGACCTTCAGCTGGCAATGTATGGAGGAAGAAGTTCCCTCTCCCTTTCCTCCCCCAGTGCATAACTGGTCAAATGAGTTGTGGGGTGTTTGCATTTTTATTGAATCATCTGAGATGGGCCTGAGTTAAGAGTTGGAACAAAGAATAATGTGGAACAATAGTGTGAATAGTTGCAATCCCTACCCCTCCCCCATCACCTGTTTTAGCTGGTTAGTTGACAGGCTTTGCAAAAGCACTCAAGATTAGATCAGATTTGGGATGGGAGTGTACCCAATGTCAAATTTATTTGATACATTTTGTCATTCCTTTGTGAAAGCTAGGATCATTGGGCTTGTCTTGCCTAATTTTCCAGGTTGCTCCTTGCCTGGTTGTCTGTCCTGTTCTATGCCTGTGACTTAAAATTGTTTGGTTTCCTGTGGACTACTTAAATATTGTGAGAAATATAGTCACCTGTGACTTAAAGGAACTTAGGCCAAATTATCTACCAGGGCTTCCTGCCCTCACTGTCTGAAATCTACTACTGTGTATTGGGTTGTTGTTAGAAAGATTACTTGGGCCATCTTCTTTCTTTTTCATTTCTTCAGAAAGTCACCTAACATCACATGATTATTTTTCTTTTAGTCACAGATAAGCACCAATTCAAACCTGAACACATGCTGTACAGATTCCGATATGATGATGGAACATATTATCCAAGAAATGAAATGCAGGATGTGATTTCTAAGGTACAGAGCAGTTGCTATTATTAGTAAGAACGTATAAGAAATCTTCTTGAAAAACAATGTAAAATATTATGCTAGGACAAATAGCGTCCTCGCACACTTGCCTAGCTCTGTATTTATGTGAATCAAAGTTAATTATACATATCTAAGGGCAGATTTTGGCTTATTGCTACTTATTTTAGATACAAAATTAAGAAATTTATTTTAATTATTTAATGGTTTCATACGCAGGGTGTATTGCCTATGTTTCTTGATGATTATGAAGCCAACAGTTCATTGTATTTTTCAATCCGTGTTAATAGATACAAGGCTGTATATAGAAGGTTTTTCTCCCTTTTCCTGTAAATTCAAGTAGCTTTTATTAGTGCCTTAATGAAGCAGTAAATCAGGAAATGAATAGATATTGTAATGTAGATATTTAGGTAGTGCGGTCCATCTGTAAACTATAAACATAACAAAATGATTGAACAAAATTACCTTTAAACTCATTGATAGTCAAACTTCTCCTGATTTTGAGACAGGAAAAAATGGCAGCACTTGGGTATTACACTACAATATCACTAATTTATCTCTTGGCATTTGTTAACGTAAGGCATATCTAAGAGAACATTCAATACTGAACTACCAGGTAGAGCAATGTATAATTTTGACACAATTTTCTGTTGTTATCCACATATTGTCCTCCATATTATAATTCTTTTTTGACAGTGTGTTAAGGAATGCTAACTTGATATTTTTAAATACCATTTTTGAGGGTAGTATCCTGAGCTCCTCCAAAAATGTTGTTTATATTTGCTGGTTTTTAATTAAAAAGCTCCACATCTTTAAATCATTTTGCACCTATTTTCTTAATTTTTTTATTTTTTTAAATTTACTGGCTGACTGTAATTTCAGTTTGTAAATAAGGTGCCTATGGATATAATTGAATGTCTCTGAATTTTTTTTTTTTTTACTTTAATTGTTCGTTTAGTCTGTAGAATAGCAAACAGTGATTGGGGAAACATTAATGCATAGAAACATTGCTTCATCTTTCAGGTTTTGTGTACCTTTCTTTTCTAGAGCTCAGGATGTGCCAGATTACTATGCCTTCAAAATAATCTTCTAATGCTACCTTAAAGCTAATCTTTTTTTTGCATGTGTCTTAGTTAAGCTTGATTAGAAATGTTTTCTCTCATCATTTATTCATTAATATTGTTGTTATCTTGAAATTTTAAGTTTTGGCACATGAAAAGATACAGACTTTTTAATAATTTTTTTTTCGAATGGCTGAATGAAATGCATTTAGAACAGTTAGGCTTCCTTACTGTGTTTATTCCTTTCATGTTCTGTTTGGTGTAAATGTCTGATTAACTTCATCTTTCTCTTTAACAGGGTGTACGACTGTACTGTCGCCTTCACAGTCTGTTTACCCCAGTAATTAGGTGAGTCCAATCGGGAAATCCTCAATGACTCCTTCAAAAGAGATATATATTCTGCAGAGACTGTGTTTGAACATAGGAGCCCAGTCCATGCTTTCAAGATTAGTATCTTGGGAAGAATCAAACAAGATTGAAGGACTGTCAAGAGAAAAAGCATAACTGCATCATAAAATGAACAAGAACTCAGTTTAATATGACTTTCTTTTCAAACTTGTAGAACCTTCTAGGTCCTAATTAATATGCTTGGATGCCTACTGTGTGTATTAACATGCTCACTTCTATACTGTCACTCCACTATCTTGTCTGGAGAGACTCAACTGTAACAAGACAACTACCTTTTTGCTCCACCTTCATGTTCCAGTGACATTATTGCCCGAGTAAGATATGGGCAGCCCCCTTTTTCCAATCTATCATAAAATTTGACTTACAAAAGCTTAATTCATGCTTATACCAACTTGTATATAAAATACAAGTTTTTCTTCTGTACTCTTTTGAGGGTTTTTTTTTGGTTTTGTTTTGAACAGGGATAAGGATTATCATCTGAGAACCTACAAATCTGTAGTCATGGCTAACAAACTCATAGACTGGTTGATTGCACAGGCAAGTGTACACTTTTGGATTTATGTACTTTTTAAATATATGTTTAAATTCTAGTAGGGAAGATAGTGCTGTATTAAGTGGAGTAACACGCAAACACTTGGTCTAAGAGTTCTAGTTATTAGAGCAGTGTTTGTGTGTAAATGCAATCCTCTTAAATGAGTGAAATAACAGAAATCAGCCATCAAGAGTCATGCTGTTCATTTCTTTTATGTTTATGTTCCTTATTTGCTATGGAACTTCAAAAGTTTTAATGAAATTTAGCTTTGTGATTCAGCGTGTAACGCTATTCGTGGTTTTAGTTGAAAGGGATAGGGTCTGAGAACTCAGAATTACTGGCTACTTGGGTAAGAGTAGTATCAATTTGCTGTCATCCATTCTGTTTTATTTTAAGCAAGGTAGGAATGAGGATGGGAATAGTCTGGTCACTAAGTCAAGTATACCAATTTTTGATACCTTTTTATATTCTATTATGTACAGTTTTTATAGCGAATGCAATGTTCCTAAAATGTTTCCATATTCTATTTTCAACTGTAAAGAGGTACACTACTATATATACATATATATATGCACATTGTATTATATATACATTATAAATGTACATATACACTATAAATGTATTATATAAAGGTGGCAACGGTAAGTATAATTTACAAGCATTGCCTGCCCTGTGAGGTTGTGCGAATGTGTATAGAATACCTTTTACTCATCTGTTAAAATGTAAAAAATACATGCTGTGGTTTAACAGGGGGATTGCCGGACCAGGGAGGAAGCTATGATCTTTGGTGTAGCTCTTTGTGACAATGGATTTATGCACCATGGTAAGTACATTCTGTACAAGCTAGTGCTTGCCTTTTGTTTAATGCCATCTGCTTAGTAGGAAGGAAATGCAGGGGCTGTTAAAGATGTTACAGAAGGGATAGGAAGTAAGTAGTTTTATTGCATTTCGGAAGAGACCTATGCTTTAAATTTCAAGAAAAAAAAACTGCTGTATACTTGAAAATTATTTTAAGTTAATTTTATAATATATACTGAGGGTTTCATTCTTTGAGTGATTTAGGGGGGAAGATGACAATGAAGACAAAAATTGAGGGAGTATGTAGGAACCAATGATAACAGCAGAAAAGTAGTAGAAGGTGTTAAAAGTGAGTTCTTAAGAAGAAAAAAAGAGGCATTTTTGGAAGAATGAATAAAAGTATGGAGAAACATAGGAAGCTGTGAGAGTAGGAGAAAGTGGACTGTGGAAAAGTGAGAAAATCGTGAGGACAGCAGAGAACAAAGAAAAAAGGGAGAGGTCAGCGATGTGTGCAAAACTGAAAATGAAGAGAACAAGGCTGAATTTAATACCATCAGAGGCAAGATTTCAATAAAAGGATTGACACGGCAGGTCATTTACTGAAATAAAAGGAGGAAGAAATGATTTCCTCATCAGCTCGTTTAGAGAAGGAGGGAGAATAACTTCTCCTCAGATGCTGTTTGTTCTTTTTCCTTTTGATTTTTAAACATAAAAACTGCACCCATCTGCTGTTCTAGTTGCTTCCAAATCCCCAGCAAACCCATTTCTAATAATGAAGCTGGCATGCTTCACCACCTGGAGAGTGCCAGAACTTGGTGAGCACTGATCTCCAACAGCTGTCCAGCCGAACTTTCTGAAATCGTATCTGTAAAACCCTTTTAAGGAGAAAACCTTTGTGCCTGATATTTTCACTAAAACCTTTTAAGGCTAACGTGTCCTCCTCACTCTGGCAAAACCGCATGTTGTACTTGAAAAAGAACTTAGTGGTAGCTATCTATAATGGATCCAAACAACAACTGTTATTTATTTTAGAAGTTAAAATTTGCGTAGATTCATGCACAAAATAGTTTGCTAGCATTTAATAAATGTGCCCATGTCCAGTATTGTATGGTTCAGGAAAGATATGATATTCAAGAATTCAAAAGAAAAAAAAAAAGAAATGATGTTTGTGTTTCCGTATTATACAGTGTTAGAAAAAAGTGAATTTAAAGATGAACCGCTGCTGTTCCGTTTTTTTGCGGACGAAGAAATGGAAGGGTCAAATATGAAGCACAAGCTCATGAAACATGATTTAAAAGTAGTGGAAAATGTCATAGCCAAGTCATTATTGGTGAGTTAATAAACTGAATGAGCATATGTTTTGATGACTAATAAATTGGATATAATGAAAAAAGATTGAGTTATAGTTTAACTCTTTTTAATCTCTTTCTGAACGATATTTTAAACAATTATATTTTCCAGATTAAATCTAATGAAGGTACCTATGGTTTTGGTTTAGAAGATAAAAATAAAGTGCCAATTATTAAAGTGGTGGAGAAAGGATCGAATGCTGAGGTATCAAATATTGTAAATTATTTTTATTGAATTGTTCACAGCTGTGTATTTCGTGTGTCATTTAGGAAAAATTATAATCGTACATGATAGCTCAATAATTTGACAACTTACCAAGAAAGTTGTAGTTATGAACTTCTAAAATTATTCTGTTTAAAACAAAGCTGTGACCATTATTAACACTCATTTTATTTTCAGGTAATTTTTTGTAATGAGAGTAGTGATATAAGTTAAATTTTATTTATTTTTATGCATTTCATAACATTCCATCATTATTAATGAGTAGCATACACACTTAGTGGTAAAATATGAAATGAATATAAAACAAGTATGCTGCTCTTTAAATGTGTACTTGATTTATTTCACAGTAAAGAATGTGCTAAGGTTTTATGATTTTTATTTGCAATTGCATAAAGTCTAGAATTTCAGAATCTGAATTAAGAAAGTACAGCCTTTCTGTTTGTTATTATTGCTTTTGATATTCTGTGAAGTAAATTCATACTGCGTCTATAGAAATGTATGAGGATCTCCATGCATGTAAAGGTTAAAAAAAGGATGAGAATCTCTTTTACAAGAGAAAGATATTAGACCTGAATTTAAAGTTCTCCTGGTGGGAAAGGAGTTGTGATAAAAATAGACACAGAAAACCAGTAATATAATGCAGCTACAGAGCTGTATCTGGGATGAGTTGCCTCTGTGAGCTTTGTGTAGTTCCATATTGTCTTTTTCTACGGTCAGATTCTGTCATGATCCCAAAAGCGCTAAGCTCATGCATGTGCTTATGTGCTTAGCGTGTGCCTGGAGCAGCTCTGTGGGTTCCTGGTATCCCGGCTGGATATGGTTTCTTTCTTGTTAAACCAGAGTTCAAAGATTGTCTGTGATCTGACATGCTATACTTTTGGCTCACAGGCATGGCCACAAAACTTTTAAGGATCTTGTTCAGTTTTGGAACTTAATAAATATTCGTTTAGTAAAATATTCATCAAGTCCATCTGTTTGAAATAAGTCTTTCGTTCCTTTGGAGATAGAAAGGCAGGCAAATTAGGTAATGTCATAAAAACAACAAAAAAACTGGCTCAATGAAAGCTGTTGTGTAATTATTATGAATATTAACTGATACTATAGTAGTCATAAAACCTTGATTAAGATTAGGACTCATTTAGATCTCTTCAGAATTAGCGTTTACAGTATGCTCTGTGTCAATATAATTAGTTCTAGAGCTATTTTGTGGTGTTAGTCTTCTGTATGCTAGTCTTCTATGTGAAGAAGGCGTAAGGAACGTAAAGAAAATGTATGTATTGTTATTTCTATTGGGGTTGCATGCAAGCAAAATAAAATGTAATGCTGGTGGTTATAAAAGGCAAACATATACAGAACTGTTATTTGTTTTCTAGATGGCAGGCTTGGAAGTTGGGAAAAAAATCTTTGCCATTAATGGTGACCTGGTTTTTCTGCGACCCTTTAGTGAAGTGGATTGCTTCCTGAAAGCCTGTTTAAACAGCAGAAAGCCCCTACGGGTTCTTGTGAGCACTAAACCACGGGAGTAAGTTGTCATACCGTTGGGGGAATTTTAAAAACTACATTTGAAGTGAATTTTAAAAGACAAGTGAAATTTTGAACAGCCCTACTGCCAGGTTATTTTAAATGCTGAGGATGAAATGTCTTATTGTTGAGGTGTTATTTAGTTCATTTAAATGTCTCTTACAAAGCTATTTGATTAAGTAAAGTAATAAGATGAACCAATAGAATGGTGGATATAGTATCAAAGCACCAAGTCTTGCATCTAATCTTACTTGATTAAAGCCAAGCAAACTGATCTGCTTGTGTTTTATTTTATTGCATTTCTCAGCCAGGAAAAGCAAAACAGCAGTGCTTTAGATCTTCAGGTCTGCCACTTTAAGTGCATGCAGAAACTGCAAGTAAAAATGAGGTTTCCTTGAATATATGGGCAGTTTTGATCACTTATCTGATATTCTGTTTATAAAACAAGTTCCTCTGTCTGGGGATTAGTTCCTGGTTTGGCAGAAGTTAGACTTTGTCATCTAATGGGCCTCTTCCGTATCTGTGCCGGTCATATAAACAAGAGTAACAAGTAAACAGCTCCAGATCTTTAAACAAGAGAGGCATTTCTGTGCAAAGGTTTGACCCTTGCTACCTCAATGAAATTCTTCTTATGGAAAAGAAATACAAAGTGAGGCCTAATGTCTGAATTCAGATGTGTAAATGAGCACAAGGCTATTAAAGTTAATGCAGTTGTTATTGGTTTACATATACGCCAAACAAAGAGGAGAATAAGAAACAGCAGTCGGGAGAAATTTGATTCATGTCAAATTTCACAGAGCAAGGAGGAAGCCATCCCCTGTTACCAGGTAACGCACGCTGACTGCCTTTAGGAGGGCTTTGGTTAAGCGGTAGAATAGAGACGTGTTTCTCCTTTTAATAAACGAGGGCATTTTAGGAAAGATACGTCTTGAGAAATACAGCCCCACCTAGCATAAGGAAAAGAGCAAAGGAGGAAATACGGCCTAAAGTTGATCGTCTGGATTGATACTACGAAGAAAAAAAGAAAAGGAATACACGCACACACACACACACGCACACACACACACGCGTGCACACACAGACGGTGATAGTGCTGGAGCTAGCATACACGGCATAACTTGGCTTTTCTTTTATGTAGATTTTGGTTTCATTTCTGACACACTCACCACTAAATATGTGGGTGAATCTCAAGGTTGACAGAGAAGATCTAGTGAATGTTGCCAGAGAAATTTAAGAATTTATTTCTCCCTACTGTCTGCTTTTTATCAAAAGCTGCTACTAGCACGACTGTGTGGGCTGAAGAGACAGTTTTATCTTTGTAAATTCTTAACTTAAACTGCCAATGATGGTCTTTCATGGGAAACTCATTAGCATGTTCAGAAAGCATTTTCCGAATGAAGCTATATAGATTGTATTAACCTAAATTAATATACAATGTTTATATTTAAATAAACCATAGTTGTAAAAATATATTAAATGCACATTTATTAATTTTAAGAACATTTAAATATCTTTTAAAGATTTATAGGCTCCAGTGGGATTTGGTCGCATCTTATTTTATAACTGCCTCCAGATGCTAAACATTATGTGTACCAGGAAAAACTGGAAGTACAAGAAATAATGCAGTGATATTATTTAAAACTCTTTGTAAGTCAAAGGTACTACAGAATTCTTCAGATGTATTTTGAAATCACTTTTCAGCATCAGTTTGAATTTGTCTGCTTTTGCAGTGGCAAATAGATTGCAATGCAAAGATTCGCTATGTAAGAACACCAGAGCTGGCGCTGGAAGTAAAGGCTGCATAGTTAAATTGGTGCAGTGCATGCATGACCTAACTAGCTCTGATAAGGACTAATGCAACTGCGCCACTTCCTCTGGAGCCGGAGCTGGTATCAAGTGGATACGCTCAGCATACTTTGGGCTAGCTCAGGGCTTCATTATGAAGAGCAGATGTGAATTGTCATTCTCATAACTATGTTTTTGTTAGTGTTATGTTTGTCAATAGATTTATTACTGTTGCACTTAAACAAAGCAAGATTGTAATACAATGTGCCTACATGCTATATAAACAGTATTAGGTAATCCTTTCTTTGCAAAACTCAGGGCTTTGTATAGCTGCTCAAAAAAGCTCCAACAAAATATTTTTGCAGTAAAAGTTGCCAAATAGAAATTTAGATGTTAACGAAATTCTATTTCTAATGGAAATCTACTCTCCATAATCTTCATCAGCTCATCTGACAAGGCTTTCCGTGATCTCTGGTCCCAAGGCTCTGTGCCCTTGGCTCGTTGACTGTCTGCTTTCCCTGAGCTTTCAGTGTTGTTATACTGTGGCATCTTAGCTACAGTGCAGTACCTTTGGGAGAAATTTTAAAGCTGTGCTGCCTTGGCCTTAATCAGCATATTGAAATTCTACGTGAACTCATATTGTCTTTCTCTGATTGCTTTCAGGATCATAACTTGCTTGTATATCTAATTAAAGTGGTGCAACGTATCTGCAATATGTATGGTGCTGAATCTGAGGTTATGAATTGACTGAAAGCATACAAGTTTTATATCCCTGTAACCTACTCATTACAGTCCATTTTTATGATAAATAACAAAATGCCTTTTATTACGTTTGCGCATTCTTTGCTTTTATCAGGACAGTGAAGATTCCTGACTCTGCGGATGGACTTGGATTCCAAATCCGCGGCTTTGGCCCATCAGTTGTCCATGCTGTTGGGAGAGGTAAGGCAGAAGAGTTGATAAAACTAATGGTAAATGTATGTTTAATGTCTTAATGGCCTGGCTTAGGTAAATCAAACTAAGATCCAGTTTTTCAGCTTAGATGGCCTTTTCTAGTGTCACAAACAACATAAAATAAAATTAGATAAGATTATTTCATGTTATTATATTTTGTGAGCTTTGGATAGTTTTCCTGATTTTTTTTTTGGATGTTTATTTCTGTACGTATTTATGTGAATGTAGGTAAGTTAAGGTCACACAGTCTTTACAGATTGAGAAACAGCTGATAGATGCAAAATTAACTTCTCCAGTGAGTGGGTGTTGGAATCCATTTCCTGACAGTTAATTTGTTAAGTCACTACGTGGTTCTGCAATCTTCTGAAAATGTTTTACAGAAAGCATACTTTTGGCAGTCTTTTCAAGGATGCTGGTTATGTATCCCGCCTTACTAATTGCAGATGTTTGCTTTAAATACTGTGTTTGGTTCATTTTGTGTTACTACTGTCAAACACTTGCCATTTCTAACTCAGTATGTTCTGGACTACTGCACTGGCAATAAAAGAATGTGAAGCATCCTTTGCTGCTCTTGTACGTCGCTCATGGCAGCGTCACCTAAAGCTGTATTTTCAGCTACTTTGGGGCAGTTCTTCTCCCACCCCACTTTGTACTTGAGGAACTTAAATTGAGTTGATCTACAAAGTAGTCAGATTTGGACAGAGCTAGATGATTTTTTTTCTAGGCTGTGGTGCCAGAAATGAGATTTTCAAGGGGAGAAAGTCTAATAAACTACCGACTATTGAGCCAATTTGATAATTATTTCCACACCTGGGTCTCAGTTTAGCTGCCTATCCTTATTCATTAAGCACATATTTTATTCTCATTTACCTCAATAGCATATAAGTGCTTGCTTGTGTGGTTTGCTAAACCTGAAGGGTTTAAAGCATGTGCTTAAATACTTTGCTGAACTGAGACCTTGGTTTTTTGAATTCTAAATAATATTTCTGCTGTCTTGAGAGATAATAATTAAGTCCTATTTTAATCTTTATTTTTAAGTCAACTTTTTGGGGGGGATAGGGGATAGGGGTGGGACTTGTTATTTCAGTTATTTCAGTTATTTCCTTGTCAAATTTGTTCACCTGACAAATCATAACATGGCTTTTCCATTTATCAGCCCTGCAAATTCAGTTTAGCCTTTTCTTTTATAGTATCAAGCTTCTGCACCTAGCTTTGCAGGAAAGAAGACTAAATATTTTCTAATAGTGGCTAGAGTCAGAGTTAGATGTCACTGGCACCCTTATGGCAATACCAACAAAGACATAAGGATGCAAGTGATCAGTGAGATGGAAGTAAGGTCATACACCAGCAGGCTGTCTTTCAAGAGGGTGCTTGAGTCATACTGGAAAGATCTCGAAACAGCTGCTTATAGTACTCTTTCTGTGGATAGAGGATTTTCCCAAAGTGGTTATTCAACTGTGAAAATAAATGACTGAACCGTATAATTTATCTTGTTCGAAGAGTATTTTTATTTTGTTTGTTCAAAATGATTAAAGTTAATAAAATCTCCCAGTCAATTATCTTTGGTTGTTTAATTTAAATGTATAAGGCTGTTTCTGTTATAAATGAGTTGGTAAAGAGATTAAAATAAGAACAGACTACATAGCAGTATCCTTGGATGTGGATTTTTCACTGATTGTTTAACAAGAATTTCTAGTACACTCTGATAGTTCTTTAAATTGTAAGCCAATCACCAGAAAGCTTCTGCTTTCTATGCCTGAGCCAGTCAAAAGCCCAGAGGCTTAGGGCATATAATAGAATTTAGAAAAAAAGTGGTCTAGGTTATGATTAGTTGGTTTCAAGCTAGAGCGTTTTTATCTTTTTCAATCCTTTTCTTTTAGACAAATTTCTTTTAGACAAATTTAGACGCATTTGCATATTGGCCATCAACATTTGCTTTATGAAATAGTTTTTAGAATAATTATCCAATTTCTTTGCATGGAATCATCTGCTGCAGAGCTCGGTACCTTTGCAAAGTCCAGCCGTCTTCAGAAGCTCTATCTAGTAGGCACAGGCAGTGCAACTACATGAGAATCAGTGAGAACAGATTCTGATACAAAATGAGGCCCTTGGACCGTAAGCTTTAAGGGAGTTGTTTAGAAAAAGAAAGGTCAACTTTCACTTTTCTTATAGGAACAGTGGCGGCTGCAGCAGGTCTCCACCCTGGCCAATGCATAATCAAAGTGAATGGAATTAATGTCAGCAAAGAGACTCATGCAAGTGTTATTGCTCACGTCACAGCATGCAGGAAGTACAGGCGTCCAATGCAGGTACAGTTCACTTGGTTTACTTGGCACTTTTTCTGACTAAATTCTTTTTCTCAAGTGTTCTCTACAGCTAAAGTAAACAGTGTGGTGTATATCTCTAGCTGAGTATCCCTGGTGTTTGCGGGTGACAAGAGGAAAGGAATGGTGAACGAAAGCGGAGGGAAGCCAATTGAACTACAGAGGCTGAGGATAGCTCAATTATATTGTTGATGTTAAAGGCCTGTTTAACTTCAGTGCTAATAATCTAAGCTTATAGCTAAATATTTTTCTCATATTGTATTTTTAAAAGATAATTTCAAATGTTTCTACAGCTCTGTGCAGAAAGCACTATTGTATATCTTCTCATCTTGATGGAGGAGATTTACACAGCATACTGCTTACTCATTAGCATGAGAATGTAATGCCAAAAGCTGATCCCCTTCCAGAATTTTGTAGCACTCCAGCACATTGAGAGCAGAGTGCATATACTCCATCTATAAAAGTCCCTTTGTGTTCCTGTTACATTCCATTCTTAGGAAATAAGCAGTTCAAGGACTCAGAATTTCCCTTTTTTAATAAAAGTATGCAAGTTTTGTTTTGATTTTTTTCACTTTCAGTTTATGAGAAAATGCCATGGCTTCCAAGACACAGAAACTGTGAGGAAGAAAACCAAAAGCAGCAGGATTTCTATAACGTAATTTTTCCACGTTCCTGCAAATTTTTCATAAACTGTGAACCAGTATCATGAGTTAACTTCACAAAGTCTTCCAGAGCATGTTAATTGAGAGGAAAAATCCAATTACAATCAAGTGTGAAATCCTTCTCCCATATCTACTGCATTGATATGAGATAAGCTTTGTAAATAGGAGTTAGTTTGAACTGTATCATGAATCTCTATTCATGAAAATGTCTGGATTTTTTTTTTAGCTATAACACAAAACTGAAGTTGTTACATAACATATCAAGACAGAGCTCACCTATTCTTTAAGGGAGGTATGCTGTGGTAAAGAGAGGGTGCTTTGTCTAGAAATACAAAAACTGGCTAGAACACCAGGTGTATTTTAACTGTTGTGCAAGTGTGGGGTTGCTACAGAGGTTAGTGACATGCAAAAAGCAGTGATTGGCTAGCATGCATGCCTTGACATGTGAAATTGCTCTGTATGATTTTTCCTCCGTTTGTGTAATATGTTGGAATACTATTTTTCCTATGCTGAATATTTCTTTCAATATAAAAAAGGAGCTGATTAGGTTCAGCCAAATACAAATAACTAGAATCTCCCAATTTGAGAAAAATTTCTAAGAAAACCTTAATTTAAAATGTAATGCAACAAATGCTATGGGAGAATTCCTGTCTAGACTGAAATAAATGGCAATATTCCCTCTGATGTCAAGAAAGCTAGAATTTCATTTCCTGTTCAGAAATCTTGGATTTTAGTTATTTGGAAGATGACTACAGATTTCTCTTATTTTGTAAGCATGATGCATTAGCTCATCATTTCATTAATACAAATATTGAAATCTCTCCTGTGGTCTGCATAGTTGAAAGGGAATCCTATTGTTTTCTGCAAATTCCCTTTTACAGTGTGAGGAATTTCCCTACTTGCCTAGAGCATGAAGTTTTTCATTTCAAATTCGGATTAATAGAGTGTGAATTTACTGCATTACTACTGTGTAACTTTTCTTGGAAAGTGTTTATATTCTTTCTGTCTTGTCTGGAGGGAGAAAATTTAAAGCAGGTTTCACTCCATGAAATTACACATAGTTCCTTTGCAGTGGTAATAAGCATGCTGTAACAGATTTAAGTGCTTTGTATAATGCTTTTGGAGAACATTGCTCCAGATTATATTGCATTATATATTGTATTAACTTTTGAAACAGTGACTTCCAGTTTAACTTGAAGGTAGTCCTTGTTTTAGGCCATGTTAAAGGCCTAAAGCATGAAAGGATGTTTTTCTGTGTCTTCCATGTTTGTTGATCCAAGTAAGGAGTCCTTTGACACACTCTAAATCTGTTAGATAGTAATGCTTAATGCTGCCCACATATATAACAAACCTGTATAAGGCTCCATAAATAAGCAGCAGCTTTCAGATGTATCTGCAAAGAGGGGTGGAATTCAGAATCATTTCTGTTGATTGACTTGTGCACAGGTACGTTCCAAAAATCAACAGAGCGCTCTGAAAGTTAAGCTCCCTTATGAAAATATTTCAATGCCTTTGAGGGAAAAATAAGGCTGAACTGAGGAAACCTAGAGAGAAATTGCATCTCAAATCAAGTAAAAATTTAGTTATCTGTGATTCATGAATTAAAGTTGATGGCTGAATACTGTACATTAGCAAAGCATAAAGTGATGCACTTAGCATTTTGCATGAAAATTATAACATTCAGCTTAAACTTTTGCCATCCTTGCTTAACTTTGAATTCTGTTCCACAAACTTATTTTTAAAGACTGTGATTTCAGAATAGTCATAATAATGCCGTTTATTCTGATGTAGTTGTTGGAGATGGATTGAATAACTGGCTATCAGACTTTTTGTGAAGTGTAAGAGGAAGAGTATTCTGTAGCTAACATATTTGGTAGGCCCTATACAATGCTTGTATATGTATATATATATACATATGCATCTACATATATGTGTGTATAATATATGTAATATATAAGCATCTGATTGTCCCCCTTCCGTAATGATTAAGACCAAATTTTGTGAAAAAAAACGGATCTCTGTCTTAGTCTCATCTGGAACGAAACACTTCTGTGGAACAGCTCTACAACCCTTGCTGTACTGTTTATATTGGACCAATGATGGCTAACATGCAGTTGGCGAGCTAAATGTAGGCAGCCAGAACAGTTCATGCAGCCCTGTTCCCTGAGGGCTGCTCATACATGAGCATATGCTTCTAGTCATTTGGGAGAGTGACTTGATGTGGACCATGTGATGAGAGTATTTCTGCTCCTGTGGTAAAAGCAAACCGAGTGTATCAGGTTACCTTAAGGGGATTAGATGCCCATCTGGTTATATAACAGGGATGGTAGGGATGCTTCTTCGATGGTGTACATGTGATGGGCATATGTATAAATAAGGGCAGGGGGAGGGAGAATATGGTGTAAGGTTGCCACATGGTGTCTTTGTAGGCTGTCTGACCAGGCCACCATTCCTGTGCTCATGACTTTGCATGAGATGCAGGGTTTTGCAGCCTGAGAAGAGCATTCTGTCCTTTGCTGTTTGTTACTGGGGGGAAAATAAAGCAGATCTAATAAAATAACTGTTATAAAGGCAAAAACAAGTACTGAGAGTTACAGTGTATATTCTTGTTGCTAGTGTCAAGTGGGTAAAGTAGACCTACCATACCTTTGGTTGGTTATTCCATAATCTGTGTTAGTCCCGTGGATGCATGGCAAATTTAGTGAGGCTAAAATTGTTTCTCTTATTTTTTTCACAATTTCCTGTCTTTTTTTTTTCAATACGTAATTTGGTTTAGAAATGTCTTAAGTTATTTTTGACTGGGACATAAAACTGATGAAAGCCATGCTGTCGGGGATTTCATACTGCTCCATGACAGTATATGCAGAAATAAAAAAGTAAATTGATTAAATGCTTCAAATGGAAATGGTTTTAGGTAAAGCCAAACTTCTCTCTTATTTTCAAAATATTATTATTTTTAAATTGGAGCTCAGAAAGCAGTAAAGTTGATAATGCTCGGGGAATTAAAGTAACAATTTCACGTTTAAAAGCAGCAAAGAAATTGCTCTAGGTTGTATTTGCGAAGTTTTTCCTATCTCTTTCTTTTTTTTTCTGTTCTTTAGCATGATTCTATACAATGGGTTTACAACAGTATTGAAAGTGCACAGGAAGATCTTCAGAAAACCAATACTAAGCCCTCTGGAGATGATGGAGGAGATGCCTTTGACTGCAAGGTGGAAGGTATGTGATGCTTGTTTTTATTTTGTCGTTGCTCAGAGTGTTGGTGCAGTAGTAAGCAAAATACAGCCAGTGTTTTTGTTTTCGGGGAGGAAACTACAAGCAGATTGCATGATTTGTTTTACATAACGATTTGCAATTTTTTAATGTATTCCTAAGAGGTAAATTTAACGTGCTGCCCTCTGAAGATTGTTATATTCCCGATTTCAAGAAAAAGCTTCTGTGATACTTTAGGAAAAATCTGGTTATTTTTCATTTGTAGGGTGCACAATCCTAGGAATTATCTGATTTATTTTCACTTGTAGAAATCATTTAATGCTAAATTAGACGAGTTAGTGAGTGTACTTAATGAAAAATAACAAATTAGCTGTCCTTCAGATTATTTTCAAGCAATTCATGTTTAGAGAAAGCTGGATTCATATGCCTCTACAAAGGTGATAATTAAAGAGATGGTTAACATGTAACTTGTATTTGTGTTCTCTGGGTAAACACTGAGGTTGTTGCATTTCTGAATGTAGATACTTTCATGGTCATTTCTTCTGGGTTATCTAGAACTTCTCAGCTTTCTGTTACTTTTGTTACTTTTTTACTTCTCTACATTGTAAGTAAAATTGAATTATTTTCCTTCAACAGTAATTGTTTATAAAGGGAGCCTTTTGTAACTTGTCATTCCTGC